CTCCATTGTGTAAATGTACCACATTTTCTCTATCCACTCTTCAGTTGAAGGGCATCTAGGTTGCTTCCAAGTTCTGGCTATTACAAATAATGCTACTATAAGCATAGTGGAACAGACATCCTTGTTGTATGAATGTGCATCTTTTGGGTATACGCCTAATTGCTGAGTAGGCTTATTCCCATTTTTCTGAGGTATCTCCATACTGATTTCCAAAGTGGCTGAACAAGTTGGCACTCCCACCAGCAGTGGATGAGTGTCCCCTCTCTCAACATCCTCTCCAGCATAAACTGTCTTTGGTGTTTTTGACTTTAGCCATTCTGACAGGAGTAAGATGATATCTCAGAGTTGTTTTGATTTGCATTTCCCGGATGGCTAGGGATGTTGAGTACTTTCTCAAGTGCCTTTCAGCCATTTTAGACTCCTCTATTGAGAATTCTTTATGTAGTTCTGTAGCCCACTTTTTAATTGGATCCTTTGGTGTTTTGGAGACTTCTTGAGTTCTTTGTAAATTTTTGAGATCAGCCCTCTGTCAGATGTGGGGTTAGTGAATATCTTTTCCCAATCTGTGGGCTGCCTTTTTGTCTTGTTGACTGTGTCCTTTGCCTTACAGAAGCTTCTCAGTTTCAGGAGGTCCCATATATCAATTGTTGACCTCTGCTGTGCTACTGGTATTATGGTCAGGAAGCTGTCTTCTGTGCCAATTCATTCAAGGGTATCACCCACTTTCTCTTTTAAGAGGTTCAGTGTGGCTGGATTTATGTTGAGGTCTTTGATCCATTTGGACTTAAGTTTTGTGCATGGCGACAGACATGGATCTATCCGCGTTTTTCTACATGCCAGCATCCAGTTATGCCAGCACCATTTGTTCAAGAAGCTTTCTTTTTTCCATTGTATATTTTTAGCTTCTTTGTCGAAGATGAGATGTTCATACATGTATGGATTAATATCAGGGTGTTCAATTCAATTCCATTGGTCTACCTGTCTATTTTTGTGCCAATACCAAGCTGTTTTCAGGACTACAGCTCTATAATAGAGCTTGAATTCAGGGATGGTGATGCCTCTCTTAAAGGAGACAAGCCTCTGCTTGCCTCTAGCAAACAGAGCCCACCAGAGTAAATGCTGCCACCAAGAAGCCATGCTTGATTCTGTTCTTTTGTGTTTAGAATCCCTTTTTAAACTTTTGTCAGGTTTTAACATGTGGAAATTCTTGCCAAATATTTGGCCACTACATGTAGAGGGAAATTTCCATCCAGTCTGGTCCTACAGCTGTTCAGTCCCAAATAAATACACAGGGGCTTATATTAATTGTAAACTGTTTGGCCAGTTGTTCATTCTTATTACTAACTATCTCTTACAATTAAATTAACCCATAATTCTTTTTTTTTTTGCTTGTTTGTTTTTTGTTTTTGTTTTTTTTCGAGACAGGGTTTCTCTGTTTTGTCTTGGAAGCTGTCCTGGAACTTGCTTTGTAGACCAGGCTGGCCTTGAACTCACAGACATCCACCTGCCTCTGCCTCCCGAGTGCTGGGATTAAAGGTGTGCACCACCAACACCCGGCCAACCCATAATTCTTATCTGTGGTTAAGCCACGTGGCTTGGTACCTTTTCTCAGTGAGGCATTCTCATCTTGCTTCCTCTCTGTCTGGCTATCCACTCCATGTCTGCATTTCCTCTTCCCAGAACTCTCATAGTCTGGTAGCCCCGCCTGTGCTTCCTGCCTGGCTACTGGCAATCAGCATCTTATTAAACCAATATGAGTGACAAATCTTTACAGTGAGCAAGAACACTATCCCACATCAAGTAGCAGCACCATCTGGCATGAGGCAGAGGGTCAGGAATAAGGATAAGTCAAATAGGAATATTATTCAACTTTCTATTCATAACATTTTATGTTACATCACAGTGCTAAAGACCTTGAAACAAATTTTCTTCCTTTGTTAAAAAACTAGGCGAGGCCGGGCGTTGGTGGCGCACGCCTTTAATCCCAGCACTCGGGAGGCGGAGGCAGGCAGATCTCTGTGAGTTCAAGGCCAGCCTGGTCTACAGTGCTAGTTCCAGGACAGCCTCCAAAACAATACAGAGAAACCCTGTCTCAAAAAAACAAACAAAACAAAACAAAAAAAAAAGACTAGGTGAAGTTGGAAAGGAGGCATCTAAAACATCATGTTTTACCCATAATCTCATATCTGTACCATAAGACATTCTAAATGCATATCCTCCTTAAATGGATGAAAATCTACATTCAGGTATTCATAAATGTCTGTTTCCTTTGAAGGCAACCTGAACAAATAAAAAACAGTGATGATGGCATCACTGGAAAAATAAATACATTCTGTAGATAATGTAGGCAGTTCTCAATACAGTAATATAGGAATTAAAAAGAAATGCATTCTATATATAATGTGGGCAGTTCTCAATACAGTAGCATAGGAATTAAAAATCCATTTGCTGGTTAGTACTAAACTTGTCATAGGAAGAAGCTATTTGAAAAAGATGAGGCAATGTTACTACGGTTTCTGTTTAGTCAACAGAAAGTTCTTCAGAATGCAAAAAGTATTTTCCCAGAGCAGCATTGCAAAACATGTCTAAAAGGCCTAAAGACCAGGCAAGAAAAACATATTCAGCCCAAATACACCAACTTATGTAAAGGGAAGCCTTTTCCTTGAGAAAAGCCTTCCCGCCAGCCTGGTTCTAGAGCCGCATCAGTCCCAAATAAACACACAGGAGGCTATATTAATTATGAAGCTGTTGGTCTTGCTTGTTTCTTACTGGCTAGCTCTGACTTAAGTATTTAACCCGTCTAAGTATTTCTCTTACCGGAGAAATGGTAGCTACATCTTGACTTCCTGTGTTTCTCCTACCTAGAGTCCTCCTAGATTCCTAGTCCCTATCTTGGTTCCCTATTGGCCAACAGTGCTTTATTGACATATACACAGGACTTCTCCCATCATCTCCTTTAACATAGTCAAATTATATATAACAGAACAGTTATCAAGTAAGAACACAGTTATAACTTTTTGTCTATCAACATTTAGCAAGATTTAAAGAAAATATCATCTATCCCATCCTTGTGAGTTCTAAGTTCTATATGTAGCTGATCTTTTATCATAACTAAGGCAAACTATAATTATAACCATCTGTCTTCAACTCCATCAAAGACCACAGAAGGATAATATATAAATACTAGAATTGACAGAGACATCCTGCTACCTGAACAGTCACCCGAAATTCCTCTGTAATGTTGGGGCATCCATCTTCAGCCCATAGGCCACAGTGTGTCTGGAAGACTTCTCAGAAAAGCAGAAAATTTCAAACTGTCCATCTGCATCAGCAGTCTGTCAGTCATTTTTCAGTGTCCTGCAGAAAGTCTCGTAGACTCTTCCATGAAGCAGGAACCCTGAAGGACTGTTTGAGCTCAGCAGTCACTTTCCTGTGGGTCCTGCATGTCCAGTTTATACACCAACAGTCAAGCAGTCTAGGCAAGAACAGTTTCTTGCCCAAATGGCTAATCTTGCCATGTTGAAAGCAAACTCCATAACAAGTTTCTTCAATGCCCATCTTCCTCTCAGACATAATTGATGTGCCAGGAACAGACATTTCTCATTGTCAAGAAAAACCCTAAACCATTTTAAATGCCATTTTTCTGAAGGTCTTTGAAAGGTTTGAAGACTATCTATCTGTCTCAAATACATCTCTATATATCTAGAAAACCTAACTTACCTAACTATAAATTTTGACTATTATAAGTAACTATCTATAATCTGTATTTAATTATGCATTGTTTTAAAAGATTAGTATAAACACAATACTTAATCAAGAGGAGAAATATATGCATTACAAAATTGACCTTGAATTTTTATCAATAAATGAAAAACCATACCCATACCATAATTCCCCTTTTTACCATTAAAAAGAGATTGGCTATGATCATTAAACAATTATAAACAAGCCCATTTAAATGAAAACAAAGATTTATAAACAAGATGGGAATTAGGACGTTGCTCATTCCAAACACACACACACACACAGGCACACACACTACACACATACCACACACACATACACATGCACACACACACACACACACACACACGCACACACGCACACACCCACATACATTCACACACACAGAGCCTTTTTGAAAAAATAACATGAACATATTACAAAAATAAAGATATGTAAAGAACAATTTAATTATTTCAGGAACAGGCTTTAGAATGGGGCAGAAAGCCAGGTCAAGGAGACTCAAAGACAAAACACAATAGAGGCTTGAAGGAGTTCTGAAATGAATTTAACATGCAAAATTAGTCAGAACCCAAAGGGAAATACTCAATTTCTTTGCCTTCAGCAAAAACAATTTACCAGCAGCTTAACGAAACTAATAGAGTGGTAACGGAGTCCTAAAGCAGTAAAAGACACTGATAATGAGGATTTGAAGACTCCACGAAACCTCACACTCAGAAGACACAAAGTGTTCGTTGCTCTTTTAGCAATGTCAAGTACTTCATAATGTTCCTTCTGTCTCACCCCCATAATAAAATCTTCAAACTTGGAGTATGGTGGAGCTCAGTTGGTAGAGAACTCGCCTCCCATGCACCAGGCCCTGGCTTTGGTCCCCTGCATGGCATAAAGCCCGGTGTGGTTGGTGTGCACGCCCGTGATCCCAACACTTGGAAGTGGAAACAGAAGGATCGGAAGTTCAAGGTCATCCTTGGCCACACCGCAGATCAAGGCTAAGACTCAGCGGGTAAAGTGTTCTCTGAGCCAACCAATCCCCAGAACTCATAGCGGGAGGATAGAACTACTGGCTCTGAAAGCTGTGCTCTGGTCTCCAGGTTCACACATGCCATAGAACCTGCACTGAGTCACATCACACACACACACACACACACACACACACACACATGCGTGCGCACACGCACACACTTTTTTTTTAAGTTTGAGATTACACTGGGCTACATGAAACCCAATCACAAAAGCAATTATCAAACTATTCCTGATCACACAAAAAGGCTAACTTTATTAGATTTGCCCTAATTACTTACATAAGACCTATTTTATAATAAAACATTAATATTTTGTGTAGCTTATAAAAATAAGAAAATCCCTCCCAGGACATGCATGAACAAGCTGTAAATGGTCTCACTCACACCTGTAAGCCCACTGCTCTAAGGGCAGAGACAGGAGGATCACTAGGTGTTGCTGACTGTCAACCAACCCCAAAACAAAAAACAATACAAATCGCTTACACCAGAAGCCACGTCCTGGACATTGGGTACCATCTATATACTTTAAAATCAAAAGGAAAGACTGTGAATGAGTGTCAGAAAATTGTTAAAAAAAAAAAAAGATAGGTATAATATTGTTGGTTGCTTTGGTTGTTTTTTGTCTTTGTTTCTTGATGAGATTCAGAGCATGGCACCCTCAGTTGTGATACCTTAGCGTATTGAATATTTAACCTAAAAGAAAATGAGAAAAAGAGAAGATAGAGGGTTGCTCTGACCTTCCCCAGGCCCTTCTCACCCAAAGGAGATCTTAAAGCTGAAGTGAGATATGAGGGCTCTCCAACAAGGAAGAAGGAATAGCCTTCTCTCCAAAGACAAGGACTCCAAGAATTAGGACAAAGAGGCCTGGCTGAGCTTCCCAGATTGTTTCCATCAGGTCACTGTCTGTCACTGTCTTTACTCCATCATAGTCTTCATCACCAAACATTCCTTGTCCTGTGACAGGGCTCAAAGCCTAACGGTTGCTTTAGCTGTTTTACAAGGGGGGACAGCACTTTGTTTTCCTTACAAAGCCTCTCTTGTCAAATATAATTTATATCAACTAATTTCATGGGTTTTATTATTATTATTAATTTGTTCTTTGTTAGTGGAACCTAAGCCATGGGTCTTAGAAGGATAAAGAAAAGATATATTCCCTCCTTTATGGCACCAGGTTTGACAGCTCTACTTCACTGTGACCCTGGCACTTCTGCAAAGCTTAAAATATTGACCAACTTAAAATACTAGTCTTTTAGCCAGGCGGTGGGGGCATACTCCTTTAATCCCAGTACTCAGGAGGCAGAGGCAGGAGGAGCTCTGTGAATGCAAGGCCAGCCTGGTCTACAAAGAGAGTTCCAGGACAGCCAGGGCTACACAGAAAATTTTGTGAGCACCAGTGCTAATGAGCCACACAGGGCCTCTCTGATTGGCTATTCAAACGTTAGCACTAAATGTTGATGTCGTTTGCCATGTTGAGGTTAAGAAATCAATGGTAAATCTCTACCCCATGACTGTAATGGTTGGTGCCTCACACCTTAGATCTCAGTACTCAAGGCAGAGGCAGAGATGGGTGGATCCTTCAGTTCAAGGCCAGCCATGGCTAAAACATTGAGACTGTGTCTCAAGAAATAAATCCATCCAGATTTCTTCCATATCTATACATTTTGGTGAATTTTTCTCTTTTGTAGATCTTCGAAGTCTCCAGGTTTGCATCCTGTCATCATCTTAGAGTATAGATCTCCAAACCAGGTGCTCTGGACAGAGTTCACACAGCATCAGTCCTATAGGAAGTCCATCTTTGTTTTCCACAGAAGCGACCAGCTATACCTGATTCAAAGAGCATAGGAAGATCAGTTGGGAGGATCCAGGAGAAGTTTGGGGAGGGAGAAATGTTATCAAAATATAATGTTTGAAAAAATTTAATAAAAAATTTTAAATTGACATTTCTAAAGCATACTCTCTGAAAGGCCTTAGTTATACATTTACTCAATCATTGCATGGTATGGTACCCAGGCATTTCCTTCTTTTTGTTTGTCTCTTCAAATCCTCAGACTGCCTTCTCTCCTGTCTCTTCCTGCCTTATATTCCTTTCTCTGTCCAGCCATATCACTCAGTCTCTACCTCCCTAGTGCTGGGGTTAAGGGCGTGTCACTCCCAAATGCTGGGGACAGTTGCCTTTGTGTGAGCTCGGTTTCTCTTTTAGACAGATTCAGGGCAGCCTTGAACTCAGAGATCTGTCGGCCTCTGCCTCCCAAGTGCTGGGATTAAATGCGTGTGTCAGCACTACCTGGTCTCTATGGCTAACTAGTGTGGCTAGCTTCAGGCAAGCTTTACTTGGTAGAGCATAAACAAGTATCACCACATTCTACTGTTGACCAGTCCAGTCTCATGAATTTCAGAAGTGAAAGGGACTATTGGGCATTTTAGGATTCAAAATTCTGGAAACAGATTTTGTGTTTTTATGTGTTGTGAGTTCGTGCGTTTGTGTTTGTGTGTGTGTGTGTGTGTGAGAGAGAGAGAGAGAGAGACAGAGAGAGAGAGAGACAGAGAGAGAGAGAGATCTGCATGTCTGTATTTCTTGTGATTTTTTTCTTATTCTGGTTTGTTTGTTTTCCTGTTGATTAAAAATGGGAGAAAGGAGGAGGCATAGAGTTGGATGAGGGGTGGGGAGTTGGGCAGGACCTGGAAGGAGATGGGAGGGGGTAAACCATGATCAGAATATATTATATGGAAAAAAATACTTTCAATAAGAAAAAAGCAAACATTAAAACCAAAATCCAGAAGCAGATTTAAGTTTGTGTTCCAAGGGAGGCAGGGGAGTGTAGCTAAGACTGAGCAGGAAAGGTTGATTTACCCCAAGAAGCTAATCATCCTTTTGTGGGGCAACTTCCCCTGCTGCTGAGAACAGGTGCAGTTTGACAGGAAAAAAATCACACACACTTAGTAGAAACACATACACTTAGTAGAAACATCCATGAAGCAAGGGTCCAGGAGCCCCTTTGTGGACATCTTTCACATCGGAACACAGACCACGCATAAGTGTCCTCACACAAAGCCAGCTGGGGAAGCAGTTTCATGTTGTGCTCATGCGGGTTTCCCTTTTGCCTCCATGTGTGTGACGGGCGCCTCTCAACGTCACAGAGTCCTGTGGCCTTTCCACACAGGGAGAGCAGACAACCCCTTCAGGGGTTCTGGGACCCGCTGCAGGGGACAAGCATACTGTGAGGCGGCAGTGGCTCTATTACTTGGCTGTTTTCTGAGATAATGAGGTGCCCATCTTTGAGGGCCAGTGTGTCCTGAACAGTTCTCACTTTTGAATCTCTCTATCTTGTCATCATTTGTCCTCGCACAGCTAAGCAGCACATTCGCTTTCCCGGTCTATTTACCCTCCAGGTTTCAGGATGTAAGGCTCGCAGTTCCCCAGACAGGAACTGATGACTCTGTCATGAAGCCAAACATACATACATGTGTGCGTGCGTGCGTGCATGCATGCATACACACATAAATGCATGCATACATACATGCATACACACATACATGCATGCATGCATGCATACAGTGCACTCTTTAAATCTTATTTTGAAAATCAGTTATATCGCAGGAGAAAAAAAACCAACAACCAAAACTGCCTTTGACTTCTGTGGCTGTGGTAGGAACTCTTGCGGTGACACATGTAAGATGTGAATCTAACTATATGAAGATTCCTCACTTGATAGCGTTGCCATCCTGACATCATGCTGACCCCGCCCCCCTGACAACTGGCAGGATAGCACACTGGCATTCAGGCAGATACTTGGACAGCTCAAAGGGCCCTGAGTTGCATGGCTGCCTAAGGACTCTGCAGGCATGTGCAAGCTTTCCCTTTTAAGCAAACACCTCACACCTGTTTCCCTCTTTCATTTCTGCTCCCAGTGGGCAGACAGCAACCCCTCCCCTCGTTCCCCCTCCCCAATAAACTCCACCGTGGGTTTTGAGGAGTTTTGCGGTTCGTTTTTCATTGCCTGCAGCTGCAGCAAACAACCGCAGATAGTAATCCCAGGAGTGGTGGGGACAGTTTAATGTGAAGCAGGATGAGGACCCGATGGGAAAGACCCGTGAGACGGTGCTCCGGAAAAGCAGGGATCTGAGCGGGTGCTCCTGCAAAGGCGGATGGGTATGTGTGTTCAAGGGTAATGACAGTAACGACCCTTTGTTAATTACGAGCTCATCACTTCTGCATGGCTGTGATCCGAGGCTGCAGAGATGGAGGCCGGGAATTCAAAGTCTGCAGACTCTCGAAGATACCTGGGGTCCCAGCGGGAGATATGCAAATCTGCTGACTGTAAAAACCGCTAGACGAAAAGCAGTTTTCTGCCTCACATGTCCTATATTCCGTTCTTCTCAAGCTAGTAATTTCCATGCTGTCAACACCCACAAGCAGTGACCGCAGTCTTCCCATGAGTTTAGCTACCTTTCAACAACCTAATTTTTTTGCAAGTAACCATCAAAAATACACACTATTCTTTTTTTATTTAAATTTAAATTAGAAACAAGGTTGCTTCACAAGTCAGTTCCAGGTCCCTCTCCGTTTCCCTCCCCTCCTCCCGTGCCCCCCCCATTATCTCCTCATTCCCCCAGGGAGGGTGAGGCCCTCCATGGGGGTGTCCATAGTCTGTCATTTCATATAGGGCAGGGCCTAGACCCTTCCCCAAGAGTTCAGGGTGAGAGTGCACCTCACATTGTTCTATGGGAGTCCAAAGTCCGTGTGTATACTTGGGATGGGTACTGATCTGCTGCCCAAGGCTCAATAGATTACCTAGGCCTCCTCACTGACACCCACATTCAGGGGGTCTTGATCAGTCCCATGCTGGATTCCCAGGCATCAGAAACAGCTGACCTGACAAGGGTTAGCTCTTGAAAAATACACACTATTCTAATACATCACGGTTATTGGAATACTGGGCCAGAGACCTGATCCTAGGGCTCCTAACACACCGGATTTACTGACCTGCAAATCAAGACTCCAGTCACAGCGGCAGTGGTCACAGAGAAAGGACCGTCACTCACCGTAGACATAGTGCTTTGTCTTTGAAGCACTGAGAGTAGCTGCAAGATTATATTGGGAAGGACAAGAGCTGAAGGCGAGTGTGCATTTTCTAAGACTTCCAGTCAAACTGGTCTCATGACCAGCTTATGTCTGGTTCCCTGGAGTCTGACTAACCCCCTGAGAGACCATTACTTACAGGGACACAGGGAAGCAGTTGGTGCCCATCATGAAATAATTGATTCAGCATGGGCACTAGCCTCTGCTTGGGACAAGGGGTGATGTTCCCACAAGGCTCCCTGCTGTAGGAATCTTGAAAATAATCCTGGTTGCTGTGGGGTGTGGGCGGGGGTGCCCTTGGAAGAGGAACAGGAGAAGTTAGGTAAATTTGGGACTAATGAACCCTCTTCTATTGCCGGTTTTAGAACCACATTCCTTAAATAATTAACGTGTCTTTGTGTGGAATGGAGCAGGCATTTGGACCGAAGCTCGAGGCAACAAAAGAGATGTGCCCTGTGAAGACATGGATGCCAAGCTCCCATCCTGCTTCCCTGCCGCCCCTCCCCACTTCAGTCGCAGGTGAGGGGTCAGCAGCAGCAGCAGCAGTGCAGCTGAAAGCAGAGGGCGGTCAGTTCTTCTTACAGTGCTTTCCTGTGGAAACCTCCTTATGTAGATCAGACTGCCCTCAAACTTGCAATCCCCTTGCCCCAGTCTCCTATGTAGTAGCCATTCTCACCACAACTCCCGGCCATAAAGTCTGGTGAGACAGTATTAATTGTCAACCCAGGAGAATCTAGCATCTCTTCATTAGAATAGAAAAAGCGAGGGTGCGTTTTACAAGGTTTATTACTCCTAGTCTTAGATAGGAGCTTAAGAGGGAGAGAAGGCAGAGCTACCGTAATATGAGACCGGTTTTCCTAGGAATGGGATGTCGCTGAGGTCAACACGTTGGCGTTAGCAAGGTTTTACTGTTTGGAACTATGGAGGGAGCATGAGGTGGTCGGTCAGTGTACTTGACCCGTTTGCAAAGGCCCAAGTGCCTCCCGTTTTCAGCTGCAGCAATCTCCAGCAAGGAATGCTCACTCTGGGGAAAAGGGACAAGGAAACACCCAAGCCAGATCTCTAGCCAGCAACCCAACACCTGCATTTATTGAATTATTTGAAGCAAGACTCACCAAGTTTGCCCAGGCTGGCCTTGAACACCCTCTGCAGCCCAAGCATGTCTTGAGTTTGTAGCCCTCTTTCCTGCCTCTGCCTGCTGACTAGCTGGGGTCACAGGCCTGTGCCTATAAACCTTTGATTTAAACACTGTTGGCATATTAACTTCTAGGCGAGAACAAAACAGCCAAGGAGGAAACAAGGGCATTACCAGCTCTTTCCAAAGAAAACATGTTCATTGGGGGTTCCTTCTGTAAACTGATAGCCACCTTCTCTCTCCACTTGTTATCAGCCGGAGGGAAAAAACCAAAACCAAAATGAAATCATACCTGGGAAAACCTGGTTCCCACTCCAAACACTTGCCCACACGAAAGGAAAAATACACCATTGTATACAAATGCAAAAGTAAAATTGCTTACAGCTTTGGCCAAACTTTCTTGTTTGGCCTGTTCACCCTCCCACCCCGCCCCCGACACTTCCCATAGCCTAGTTAAAACAAGGTCCAGGAAAAAGGACCACAAAGATTTACTCTGTGCTCAAGTTACTGGAGCTGGGAGACAGTCTTTCTCATTCTCACTACGGTGTTTCCTGAAGTCACCTTTATTCCAAGGGCCTTACTTTAGAATTACAAATGTACCACTGCATCCAGTCCCCCCCGTGCATTTCCAGAACAAAGGGAGGGTTCTCTAGTGTCGTTCCTATCGGGCTTTTGGGGACAGAGGAGTCTTACTTGCTCCTGAGAAAAGCAGGATTGATGTTCATAACCCAGAGCTCCTTCTGACCCCGCGTGTTCTACAGGTCCCTTTTTGATTCTACGTTTCATTACTTTCTCCATCCCACTCTCCCATTCCCCACCCCCATGATCCCTTTTCCTCTTTTGGGTGGGGCCTCTAATTGGCCCCAAATCAGCTATTCTAAATCCCTGTGGGAGAGAAATGAGTCATTAACAACTTAATGACTGCAGCCTGGAGAGGTAAATCCTTCCTGTTACACAAAGGAAAAACCTATTGAGGCCCAACAATTCCCTGCTAGGACCTACTCCAGAGCATTTTAAAGATGCAAGTAAGGCTGTTACAATAGTAACAACTTTATCAAGAACCAGCCCTCCAAACTTCCCCCAGTCTCTTCTATTTGGTTCCTCTCTCCGGAGGAACAACTACCTTCCCTGAAGTCGGTTCATTGCAACAGTTTAGGAAAAGCTGCCCCAAATTATCTTCTTTGTCCAAATTTTCTTCTTTGAAAACATTACAGCAAATCAAGGATGGTTTTTATTTTTTCAAAGCATACCAACGTATTGTTTTTTCTATCTGACAATATTATCACTTAACAAAAACTATTGGCTTAGTTGTGTAGGGAAGCAAAAATCACTGTGTAAGAAGGCCATCTCCACTACAGGTGGTTTGAACCTGTAGTCCCGGATGCTTGGGAAGTTGAGGCCAAGCTTGCAACCTTGTGGGCTGTAGGGTGATTTCAAGGTCGTCCCAAACAACTTAGAAAAAGCCATTCTTAAAATCAAAAAGTGCCCCAGAGATATAAGCATAGGGCGATAGAGCATTTCCCTGGACTTGGGAGGGAAAATGAAATAGCATGGTAAACTGGTGCTGGTAAGTTTAACTGAAATCGGTTGTAATTGCTCTCAACACACACACACACACACACACACACACACACACACACACACACACACACACGCAAGCGCGCGTATACATGCGCATCCCATTTTGGTAGACAATTGATGCCTGGGATAATGAGGGTTCCTAGTCTCATTAATGAAAAAGAATTGAAGAACAGACTCAAATGGCAGCTCCACAGCAGCTTAACTAGAAGTTACAAAGACAAACTTTACAGAAGGCAAGCTGTAAATCTCACATTCCTAGTCAAGTCGGTACGGAGGGTAAGCCATGTGACTCACAAGAGCTATGTGGCAGGAGCAGGGGCAGCTTTGGAGAAAAATTAAGGAAGTCCAAGTTGCCAGGTGAAGCACCCTGAGGCTCTGGGCAGTGTCCAAAGGAGGGAGGCAGCAGAGAAGAAGTTATGCCTTTTTCCCATCCAAGTACAAGTGAGGTCTTGGTTAGCTCTCTGGATCCAACAAGATCCGGCATGTTCAGGGTGGTGGGGCCATATGTGGACCAGTGATGCCTTTGTGAAAGGTGATGGACCTGATAGAACCTCCTGGGAGCTCCCCGGGACCAGAGGGCAGCGGTTATTGGAAAGTAAATTCATTATCTCCTACAAGAGGGAGGCCTTCTGTCTCTTTAGACTCCTGGGGTGGTTTGAATGAGAATGCCCCCATGTGCTCATCTGTCTGCTGGAACTGTTTGGGAAGGATCAGGAGGTATGGCCTTGTTAGAGGAGCTCACTAATCCATTTCACAAGAACATTAGTTCACTTGCTCAAAATCTTCTAATTTAAGTTCAATTGCCCTAACATATAGAGTATACTACACTCTCAAAGTGTCTGCTTCTCAGTAGCTTTACATTCTAGACAACGGAATGTTATGTTGGGAGATGGTTTATACACAACCTTGAACAGAGCATGTCCAGAAAAAAAGCCCATCATATTTTTACCCTGGAAATATGGCCTTACACGGACATGCTCAAAAATGAACACCTTTGTAGAAATGAAGGCTAAATACCCATCTCCCACCCTGTACAAGGAAATGAATTCAACATTATTCAAATGCCTTAGTATTATACCTGGACCCTTGAAACAGCTAACGGGAAACATTTCAAGGTATATGCATAGACAAGGACTCCCTGCAAAAGATTCTATTCTAACACCCAGGAAATAATACCAAGAATTGACAACAAGTCAGGTATGGTGGTGCACGCCTTTAGCCCCAGCACTGGGGAGGCAGAGGCAGGCGGATCTCTGTGAGTTCGAGGCCAGCCTGGTCTACAGAGCAAGTTCCAGGACAGCCAGAGCTGCACAGAGTGGCAAGTGGTGTCATATTGAAGGGACCAGCGCCTGGCTTTAGTAGCCATGCCGGGCTGACACATGCTTGCCTGATCTTGCCCCTCCTGCCCTGGTCACTAGGAGGTCAGATGCCTTCCTCATGGCAAGGAACCAATCAGAAGTTAGCTGGCAGGTGTGGGCTTTACGGCTCTGGGTGCGATTTACCGTACCAGTGCACAACAGTGATACACAGAGCATAGCAACTGCCCTGGGAGGACCTATAGGCCATAACAACCAGTTGACCAATCAACACAAGGCAGGTGGTTCAAGCCCAAAAGCACCCCAATCCTGAGACTGTTGCAAACTCCTAATACTCCCCTTATGCTACCCTGCCTTGCGGCTCCCCTGGGTCCTTCTCCAAGCATCCGCAGCGACGAACAGACGAAGGACCCCAGCTAATGGAGTTAGCTCATTAAACAACAATAAATAACTCTTTGCTTTTGTGTCGAAATGGGCCTCTTGGTGACTTTGGGATTTCAGAATTCAGGCACAAACAATATGAAAATAATACCCTTCTGTACTGCAAATGAAACCGTTCCTTACCAGGGTGAGCGGAAGCTGCTAAGGAATGGGAGAAAATCTTTGCCTGCTACTTATTCAGTGGGGATTAACAACCAGAATACACGAAGAATTTAAAAACTAAACATCATCAAAAAGAATAAATAACCCAGTCAGTAAATGGGAGGATAAGCTGAACAGTTTTTGTTTGTTTGTTTGTTTGTTTTACGAGACAGTGTTTCTCTGTATTGTTTTCGAGGCTGTCAGTCCAGCCTGGCCTGGAACTCACAGAGATCCGCCTGCCTCTGCCTCCCGAGTGCTGGGATTAAAGGCGTGCGACACCACGGCCCGGCTGAACAGACAGTTCTTAAAGAAAGAAATACAAATGGCTAGTAAGCACACAGAACTTTTCTCCACCATCCTTAGCTATCAGAGATACAAATC